TGTTCTGTATAGGTAGGTACACCCTGGAGGGCTCCTAGCTATGCTATGTTTCTCTGATTTAAATCTAGTCGGTATTTTTCTTCATTATACCGACAACAGCGGGGAGAACTGCTTTTGTCAATTACTGTCAGTGGAATAGGTTGGCCCCGCCGACTGGGACTAGGATAAACTGGACCCCACTGCTTCTTTTTTCTTTGTTTGCTTCGTTAGACATTTAGTTGAGTACCGGTAATCTGAATAAACCTTCCAATCCTTGTACCAACTTTTAGACTTTCAGGTCATTTGTTTAATGCGAGAGGGCAAGCCGAGCCTGGTCTGTCGGTAACAAGACCAGCTCATTTTTAATTACGGTAGATTCAGTAACTTTGGCCCACTTGAGTCTTCCATGGAGGAAGAAAAAAAATGGCATAGTTTTCAATAGCTTTTAAAAATAGTCATAGTGAACTATGGTGCCCCCTTGTGGTAGAGCTCACTTCATTCTTGGAGCAAAGCACAGAATTTGACTCTTTTCTTCAGTCATTCCACAAGTATTTTTCTTTTTTTTCTTTCTTTTTTTTTTTTTTTCTTTTTCCGTGTCCGGCAACGGATCGCAACCCTCAGTGTCGCCCCCGTACCGGACCGGGACCGGCAACGGGATCGCAACCCTCGGTGCTGCTCCCGTGCCTCGCTCAGCCAGTGAGCGGGAACCGGTCTGTATATGGGATCCGAACCCTCAGGTGGGAGTGCCGCCGTGCTTCCCAAGCAGCGCACTATCCAGTGTGCCACCGGGCCGGCCCCTCCACAAGTATTTTTCAAAGCCCATTATATATCAGGCATGGTGCTAAATGTCAGGATACATAAGCTCCTTGTGGAGCTTCTAAACACACAAACAAAATATGGAATTACAGACTGAAATAAGGGATTTGAAGGAGTTTTGTTAGGTTGATTGCCTCTAAAATCTGGTGTGACAGAGGATTTTCCTGTTTTTTGGTTCATATTGTTTTGGACAGCCCTCCTCCCACATGGCTGTTAGACATTACCTGTTCTGCACACATGGCCTGAGTCCCTGTGTGCCACATAACTGCTTATGAGTGGTAGTAATAATAGTTAGTGCTTTCTTACCCATGATTTAATTTTTTATTTTTATTTTTTGGTCAAAAAAGAATCTGTATTGCTGTTGTAACAGCCTCCTATGCCTTCTTGGCAGATGCCTTTGGAGCAGGTGCTTTCTGGGCTGGAACTTTTTGACCCTTCTGAGCTTTTGGAGGAAATGCTGCCTTTTGGCCTGTGGCTTTCTGGGAGGGAACCTTCTGGGGTGGATGGAACCTTCTTGCCTGCAGTGATCACCTTTTTTTTTTTTTTTTTTTTTTCTTTTTTTTTCCTTTTCCCCCCACAGGTCCCAACCCCCACGTCCCCCCCCCCCCCCGCCCGGGCCCGCCCCGC